TGATTAACTGCATGAATGCCTGTGGATGAAGGCTTCATTACTTGAATAAGAGTAATTCATCGAAATGCAAATTTTAAGCCCACTTTGTAGAGTGGCAAAATCATGTTTTCATGCCCACTTGATGGTGGCAAATCCGTGCTTTAGTCTACTTGCGAGTAGCACTTTCAAACTATTTTTGAAAAGAAAACATGAGTTGTTTTGTTCCAATTCTTGTGATTGAGTCTATACTTGTGTGTTGTGCGCATCACATAGTAAGTTAGCTTAATAACCAGATAAGAACACATGTGTTTTCAAAACAACATATCATATTTAGTAGAGGCCGATCTTTGATCGGGCGAGCGGGGGTGCTCATTTCAGGACCTTCTCCTCTCGTACCCAAGTTCCCGAGCTGAGGCAACTTTGGTGATGACGGACACGTGGCCTTAGGCATAAGTCAGGGTTTCCTAAATTTTCCAAAATAAAATATTTAGGTGGCGACTCTGAAATCTGGCAAAGCAGTCCATGTTTGGCACTTTTTGATTAAAAACGATTTGCCGGATTTGGATTCTTTGGTGATTTATCAGTCTCACATTGCATTTTGTGAGATTAGATTTAGAACCGTGACAGGAGTCCGAACTGTAGTAGCTAGAACCCAATTCGCGCCTTCTCCGAAAGGAGGGCTGCGCAGCGAGAGTTCGGGGCGGTCTACAATTGTCCTCTAAAACATAAATCTAGTACCAAAATCCTATGTTGAGAGGTTAGGCTCTCTCTAGGAATCACCTTACAATCATTGCATTTTAAGCAGTCCACTTTTCTCACTAAGAAGTAATCTATTTGGCTCTTAACTGACACACTCTTAAAGGTTATCAAATGCTCCTCCATCTTCTTATACATAGTATTGGCCACTACCAGGTCAGAAGCCAATGCAAAATCTAAGATGCTCTCACCAGCCTCATTTTTGTTACCAAAACCGTATCCACCATGCACCCTTTCATAGCGTAGTTTATCTATGCCTACATGACCGTTAAAATCTCCACATATAACCAAATTCTCTCATACGGGTACCTCCTGTAAGATCTCATCCATTTGCTCCCAAAAATCCCTCTTAGTCTGATCATCTAATCCTACTTGAGGGGCAGGTGCACTAATAAAGTTCACTATATTCCCTCCAATAACTAATTTAACTAACATAATCCTATCTCCTTTCCTAATGACAGCCACTACATTCTCCACAAGACCCCTGGCAATTAAGATTCCTACCACATTCCTGCGTCTATCCTTACCACTATAATACAGTTTAAAACCGGTATCCTCAATTTCCCTAGCTTTCTCACCCATCCACTTAGTTTCTTGAACGCAAGCTATACTAACTCTCCTCCTAATCATAACATCTACCAACTCCATTGTCTTACAGGTTAAGGTTCCTATATTCCAAGTGGCTACTCTAAACCTATAGTCTTGGACTAGTTTCTTTACCCGCGCTCATCCAGAAAAACGAGAGAACCTTTGCCCATTTTTCACTACACCCAGGCATCAATGCGGCACCCTTTGCTCACTTTTCGAAACACCCGGAGGCAGGCACAACGCATCACTTGAGGGTAACAACCTAGCATTTAAACGATTCAAAGTAAGATTCATTGTCATAAGGGATCCGAGCGTTTTTTTTTTTTACGTGTTGGCTATCGGCTACCTAACACACAACCCTCCTCCTTAACCCGGGCTTAGGACCGGCAGAGTTGTTAAACAATCCCGGCAAAGTTTTTTAGTTAATTTTGTTAAATAAAAAATTCTCATAAGGGGATATTTGTAATTTTCCAAACCACAGGGGGCAATTTGTATTTTAAGCAAATTTCAGAGAATGTATTTGTAATTTATCCTAAAATTTATCAAAAAAATCTAGGTACAAATTAATACAACAAAAATTGAAACCTGCGACATGTCTAATACATATTTTATCTTCTTTTTTTTTTTTTTTCTCTAAGGCAAGAGTATTCATCAAATCCACTGCTACTGTATACATCTCCTTGCTTGGATTGCTGGTTGGTTTCATTCAAATTAATCAGGATGCAGCTGAGTCACCATTCAAAACCCACCCTAAGAGCATGCTAGCTTCCTTGTGTTGAAAGAATTTGTTGAACTTGAAGGGCAACAAATTATCGGTGAAAATTATGCTCGAATCTTTTCCTATGTTACTCTGATCGTTGCAGGTCTCACACCGGTCTTGTTTGTCTCCGTCTTGGTCCCAGATTGGCTCATTTGGCTTCCATATGGCATCTGGTTCATTTTCTTTATCATTGTTGTGCGCTTAAAGGCATGGGACTTGTTCACAGGCTTCCTCCCAGCCCAGATTGCTGGTCCTGATAATGAAAATTAAATGGTATTAATATGTAGTGTGTATGTATGTATGTTTAATAATGAGCTACATGTTTAATAGTGTGTGTGTGGGTAATTTTCTGGCCACACTGCCCACCTAGTAATCAGCTGGAGAGCACCGACAGAATAGATGGCTTCAACAGACCTGTAACAAAAAGAAAAGGCTCCGGCGGTGGCTCTTCCACCCGGGGGCACTCCGACGATCAAGTCAGTATATCTCTCAAAGATAATCAAGTGCTAAACTCACAAGCTTGAGTATAAAATTGTGTACCTTAGACCCATGGGGGTGCCTCTCTTTTATAGTTTACTCAATCCAAGTCCTACTAGAAGCCTGACTTCTATGGACTCCAATTTAGTACTTACTTTGGATTCCTCAAGAGATAAAGATAAACTCCCTAAGAGCTTTATCCATATCTTAACAAAAGTCTTCTCTTTTCTCTAGGACTCTTTTCCATATCCAAGTTGAGTTCCCTCTTCATTCTAGGACTTTTGTCCCTTATCCGCTTATCTTGGATTCCAATATCTTCGGAGTCAACCTCGGCCTATCCAAGATAACCTCAGCATAACTGCCACGATACGTGGCACGTCGGCTGACACATCGGCGTCACCATGCCACGTGTTGGTACTCAGAAAATATATCCCCATAACTGCTCCCTAGGTTCTATTACCTTTACCTCAGCATTCTGAGGTGATGGAACCTATATCGATATTTCTTTCTGCATATTGGCTAAAAAACTGTTTAGCCGAGATCATTTATTTCAGGCTGACATGTTCTCTTCAGAGAACAAGAACTTAAACAAATTCCCTCACGCGCATGAGTTGCCATGTATTTTTTCTCAACCGTTCCCCTTACGTGTTCTATCTTCATTGGCCCGTGTCTGTGATGCGCTTGTAAGCCATCTTTCACCTGTCTGCGCTGTCTGACGCATACGTTCCTCCAGGCGCAATAAATACCATGTTTTGCCGCCATTTCAAGTTTTTGATAAAACTTTTCTTTCCATCTTCATTTCTTTACTTTTGCATTAGATTTTCTGGCTCTCTCTCTCTCTCTAAACTTTCTCAAACCCGTCATTGCTCTAGATCCAAGCTCTACAACCGTCTTCATTCTTCCATTCCAGCGAAGCTTTTGTCGTCCCGTCTTGTCTGCAACCGTTGCCTTTCCTCAGCGACTTTCATTCCGGCTTCATTTGTTCTAGTAAGCTTCTGTTCCTCTCATTCCCAATTTCTTCTATGTGCTTTTGTTTACTTACTGTCATTATTGCTCTGTTCAAACCTTTGATTTGCTGAACTATTCATCTGGATACGTCTATTCCATGATTTTACTCATATCTTGAACACTTGCACTGTTTTAATACTTTTCTTGCCACTGTTCTTGACCTTTTACTTCTGTATTTCTTTCGCTTTTGAGAACCATACCTCTATTCTTCGTTTCTGAAACGTCATTCTTTGTTTCTTGTTTTTGTTTTTCCTTTCCAGATCTGTGCCTTTGATTTTCATCTTCATAGTTCTTAGGCTTGGGATTTGTTTGTAGAACCTTTAATTTAGGGAAAACTGAAACAAGCCGTACCAATACTCTCCTAGGAGCCATCTCGACCTTCTCGGGGAGCCGGGCCATCTCGGCCTTCTCGCGGGGCCGGGAGAGGGGAGTTGTCCCGTAGACGCAGGGCACATATCATAGAGGCCTTCTGATTTTAGGCCGACGTTATGGGTATGTGGAGACATAGGGTAGATACCCCGACCAAACTTGAGTACTTCAGGCAGGAGTTCTCAATTCCTGCCGATGTCCATCTGAGGCTGGCTGAAGATAATGACTCTATCATGCCCACAGATGATTCAATGCCCTTTCCTATAGTAACTTTTACTGAGTGCGGACTCCGACTCCCCCTTAACATTCTCTTTCGCGAAATTCTTCACTTTTACAAGTTGAACCCTATGCAACTTGCCATAAACTCTTATCGAGTGATCAATGGCATCATAGCTTTAGCTAGGCAGGAGAACGCTAGGATTACCCTGGCCGACATTCAGTACTGTTATACCATGTGCCCCCTTAGCCTGAAGGAAAAAGGCTTCGTTTATTATCTTATGCCGAGGTCGACAGAATACAAAATCGTAGCTGACCTCGCAGACTCCAACAAGGGGGCTGGAGATGACTATGTTATTGCTTCGGGAAATTGGGAGTTTGGCCCAGACGAGGACGCCCATCTCTACCCTCTTCCCCGATCTATTAAAGAGGGTAAGGGTAAGAGCCCAATGTCAATACTTTAGTTGTTTCTGTTTCAAGTCTTCAATATTTAATCTGTTTCTAATGTTTGTTTCTTCTTGCAGACGTTCATAAGTTACCGAAAGACTTTCGCCAATCCTACGTTCCCTGCAGAGACTTAAAGAAGCTCCTAGATCTGCCAATCCAAAAGCGTAAGGCCCCACTGGTACTGAATTTTATTCCGACGTAAAAGTCGACACTGCCCGACGTTCCCAAGCAAAAGAAGAAAAGTCTTTCTCCTCCTACTGCCACAACTCAAACCGCCTTTTCATCACGAACAGATCAAGAGTCAACATCCGACCTAGCTGATCTGCCATCTACTTCAGCCCCATACTTAATCCCAATACCAGAAAGAAGACGTCGACGTCGACTTGTCAAGACTGCTGAGATGGGTCACCCGAAGCCTGTCGCTGTTGATCTCTTAGCCGACCTACCTGCCGATGTTGATGTTGTTCCAGCTCAATCCATGCCCCCACCAAAGCCAAAAAGAATCAAAAAGGCTCAGCCTAAGACCAAAGCTACTGAGGTTGAGGCTGAGGATGCTCTGCCCATCTCACAATTGGTAGAGAGTAAAAAAACTACTTCTACTTCTGCAAAAAGGTCTGTTGAGGCCCAGCCATCAGAACCCTCCCAATCAAAGAAGCCCAGGTCATCGTCTGCGATGACCTCGGGTTCCAGAATACCAAAAGTCCCTTGGAGACCAGAGATCACTCTAGAAGATAAGCCTGTCCTTGCCAGCGACAGCACCGATGATATAAACGTCGGCGTGGCACTTAGTACTGCTCTACTCCTCCCAGGTGATCTTGAGCGGAATGCCAAGATGAGTGAGTATGAGAACTATGTTTTTATGCTGCAACGCTCTGTCCAAGTAAGTGCCTTTGTGCTGAAATTTGTTTTCTCTCTTACTTTATAAAATTTTGTAACAATTTATGCCTTGTGTTCTTTCAGGCCATCCAACATGCCCACTCTCTCACCATGCAAGCTTTTGAAAATCGGCAAAGATTGGCCGACATGAAGAGGGAGGTTTCTGCCCTGAAAAATGAGAACAAATCTCTTGAATTAAAGATGAAAAAACTGGAGGACCAAGCTGAGGCCGCCACCAAACCCCAAAGTCTAGCCGAGGAAAAAGCTGAATCTGCCGAGGCAATTAAGAAGGTTGCCGAAGCCGAGAAGAAAGAGGCCGAGGACAAAAAGGCCCAAGCGGAAAAGGAACTTCAAGATGCTTTATTTACTAAAGATGCCGAAATCAAGGCGGCCGACGAAAAGGCCTACGCCCAGGGTATGGCCGACGTTACTGAGGAGTATAAACTTCAGGTCAGGCAGGCATGCAACAGGGGCTTCTCCCTTGGTTGGATGTCCCTGATAAAGAAACTTGATCTTTCTGCTGACTCACCCTTCCGCAATGCCGATGCTATTCCTCTGCCGTTCCCCCCTTCTCCTCCATCAAGTCAACCTGGAGGAGAATCTGAATCTGAGTCTGAGGATGTCGATGAGGAAGAGGATGAGGCTTTGGTCAGAAAACCAAAGGATGCTGATGGGGCTAAGGCCCCTCCTCAGAATGAGCAAGTCCTTGACTTGACTCAAGATGAAGAAGGTGATGAGGTTATCCCTGAAGCTGTTCCTGACACTGTTCCAGCCAATATCCCTTCCGAGGTTAAGATTGTCGAACAAACTCTTCAGGAAATTGACGCCAAAATAGCGGTAGAGAAGGAGGCCGAGGTTGTATCTGATCTCCAAATCCAACAATCTGGAGGAGAAGACCCTTAGCTTTATGTTCTTCTTTTGCTTACTTGTATTTTGTTTTTTCCTTTATCTTTTTCTGAACAATGTAAGCTTTTGCGTGGCCGACGTGCCTCCCAATTTTGTAAATGTTAACTCAGCTTTCCTTTTCTTAACGCTTGAATCTTTGTCTTTTCTTTGATTGCTTCTGCGTGGTTTCTATACTTAGAATATTTTCCATGATTTACATACTTCTTTCCTTCCTTGTGCAATCTTCTCGGGATTACATATCTCGGGTGTAATAACTACAAGCTTTACTTCGGCAAGATACTGTCCTACAATCTTTTCATAAGTTTCAACAAGTGTAAAACATATATTATTCAATGTCAACTTTGCAAACTCTTTCTTAAGTTTCAATGAGTATTTAAACAGTGATCTTGGTCTAACCTACTTGTAAATTGCTACAAATTTCAACAAGTGTTAACATTTACTGTAAATTTTTCTCAAGTTATGACAATGATCTACTTGTAAATTGCTACAAATTTCAACAAGTGTTTAAACAATATACTTAGCTTTTAAACTTGTAAATTGCTACAAATTTCAACAAGTGAAGATAAGGAATCAGCTTAATTCCAACTTGTAAATTGCTACAAATTTCAACAAGTGAAGATAAGGAATCAGCTTAATTCCAACTTGTAAATTGCTACAAATTTCAACAAGTGAAGATAAGGAATCAGCTTAATTCCAACTTGTAAATTGCTACAAATTTCAACAAGTGAAGATAAGGAATCAGCTTAATTCCAACTTGTAAATTGCTACAAATTTCAACAAGTGAAGATAAGGAATCAGCTTAATTCCAACTTGTAAATTGCTACAAATTTCAACAAGTGAAGATAAGGAATCAGCTTAATTCCAACTTGTAAATTGCTACAAATTTCAACAAGTGAAGATAAGGTTCACTTGTTGAAATTTGTAGCAAGTGAAGATAAGGAATCAGCTTAATTCCAACTTGTAAATTGCTACAAATTTTAACAAGTGAATTAAGTATCTCTGTCTTCTCTCTGCCCCCAATGTGAACCTGAGTTCTACTTGGGTTCTCATTATTCATGTCTTAAAAACACCAATATGTAACTTTATCAATCGTATGTGTTTTAAAGAAAACGGGAAAAGATTTTATTGATGACATTGGCCAAAAATTCTGCACATCTATTGATAGAAGAATTTCAAATTACAAGTGTTCCAAGGTCTTGGCAGTGCTTTGCCCTCGTTATCTTCAAGCCGATAAGCTCCATTGCCTAATACCGAAGTAATTCTGTAGGGTCCTTCCCAGTTTGGGCCAAGCTTGCCCTCTCTGGGATCTTTCTTGTGGCCGACTACTTTTCTTAGGACTAGGTCGCCGACTTGAAAATCTCTTGGATTGACCTTCTTGTTGTAAGTTCTAGCAAGCTGTTGCTGGTACACTACGAGCTAAATTGCAGCTTTCTCTCTTCGTTCTTCCAAAAGATCCAAATCTCGGGCTAAGATTTTATCATTGGTGCCATTCTCTACTCCCTGGGTTCTGATCCCTGGGATGCCGATCTCCAATGGGATGACTGCTTCTGTGCCATAAGCCATGGCAAAGGGGGATTCCCCTGTTGATCTTCTCGGTGTAGTCCGATATGCCCAAAGTACGTTGGGCAACTCGTCTACCCACTTTCCTTTTGCTGCCTACAACCTCTTCTTTATTCCATCCAAAATTACTTTGTTGGATGCTTCTACTTGCCTATTGCTTTGGGGAAAACTTGGTGTTGAGAAGTAATTCTGGATCTTGAATTTCGCACAAAAGTTCTTGATGAGTTTGCTGTCAAACTGTGTTCCGTTGTCGGTAACTATTGCTCTTGGAATCCCAAATCTGGTGATGATGTTTCTCCATATAAAGTCCTTGACGTCCACATCTCGGATTTTGGCCAAGAGGTTCTGCCTCTATCCATTTTGTAAAGTAGTCTGTTGCTACCAGCAAGTATTTTCTCTGCCCAGTTGCCTGGGGAAGTTGTCCAACCAGATCCATGCCCCATTAGGCAAACGGCCAAGGGCTAGATACTGGGTTCAGGTCAGCAGCTGGCTGATGTATCAAAGGTGCAAACCTTTGACATTGTTCGCACTTCTTTACATAGGCTTCGGTATCCTTTTGCATGTAGGGCCACCAATACCCCTAGGTAATGGCCCTATGGGCTAATGATCTGCCCCCAGCATGGCTTCCACAAATTTCTTCATGAATTTCATATAGGAAATCTTTAACCTGCAAAGGGTGTACGCACCTTAAAAGAGGTCCAGTGAAGGATCTTCTGCAGAGGTGTCCATCTGCTGTCAAACAGAATCTTGCCAATTTCAATCTGACTTTGTGTGCCTCCTTATGATCTTCTGGCAGCTTTCCTTCTTTCAGGAATGCAACAATTGCATCCATCCAGTTTGGCCCCATGTCCACACACATTGCTTCTTGCTCTTTGCTCTCTGGTTCTAAGCTCGATCCTGACATATAGTCGATCATAATCGTTCTTGTTTTTCCAGTCTGCATTGAACTTGCCAGGTTAGCCAACGCGTCGGCGTGGGTGTTGTTATCTTGGCTAACTTGGAGTAGTAGGCAGTTCTGAAATTGGGCTGCCAACCTGATGACCTCTTTTGCATATGCCGACATCCTTTCATCCCTGGTTGCAAATTCACCTGTTGACTGGTTAACAATAAGTTGTGAATCACAAAAAACTATTACCTCATCTGCTACTGCTGCTGCTGCCAGTTTTAGCCCCACAATTAATGCTTCGTATTCCGCTTCATTGTTTGAGGCCTTGAACCCCAAACAGATGGACTGTTCTATTATTTCTCCATCTGGAGATATCAGCAGTACTCCTGCCCCCATTCCTTGTCGGTTCAAACTTCCATCAACAAACAGTCTGAATAAATCGCCGATGTAGATGCTATAGGGTCTGAGTTTTTCCTTCCTTTGCTCGTTTGCCTTTGGCTGGGATTCTCCTTGCTTGCTGGGACAATGCTCATCCTGGCTCAACGGAGCCCGATGTTCGATGGTTTCGGGTGTGAATTCTGCCACGAAGTCGGCCAAAACTTGGCCTTTAATTGCTGTTCTTGGCCTGAACTCCAGGTCATACTGGCCCAGGGCTACTGCCCATCTTGCTATCCTTCCTGTTAAGTCTCCTTGTTGCAACAAGGACTTCAGTGGGTGCTCTGTTAGGACCACAATCTTGTGCGCCTGAAAGTAATGGTTCAACTTCTTTGAAGCCATTACTAAGGCTAGCATTAATTTCTCCAGTGGTAGATACCTTGTTTCTGCATCGGCCAAGGTTTTGCTAACATAATAAATAGACTTTTGCTCCCCTTTCTCTTCTCGGATTAGTACTGCACTGACTGCGTGTTCTAAAACTACCAAGTACAAAAACAGTTCTTCCCCTGGTTCTGGATTGGAAAGAACTGGAGTTGTGGTCAAGTACTTCTTTAGATCGGTTAAAGCGACTTCGCATTCTTCTGTCCACAGAAAGTCTGTGGCTTTTTTACCAAGTTGAAGAAGGGTCTGCATTTATCTGAGCTTCTGCTGATGAATCTGTTTAGGGCAGCGGCCCTTCCAATAAGCATCTGAACTTGTTTTGCCGACGTTGGGCTCTTCAACTCTAGGATGGCCTTGATTTGGTCTGGGCTGGCCTCAATGCCCTTTCTTGTTACCAGATACCCTAAAAACTTACCTGATCCAACTCCAAACGCGCACTTTGATGCGTTGAGTCGGAGCCGGTATGTTTTGAGTATATCAAAGACCTCTTTTAGGCGGCAAGATGACCCTTAGATTCCTTGGTCATCACAACCATGTCATCGATGTAGACTCCTACCGTTTTGCCAATCAGGTGCTTGAACATCTTTGTTACTAACCTTTGGTAAGTTGCTCCTGCCTCCTTTTGAGGTAATCCCTCAAGTCTCCTTTACTCCTACCTGGAGCTCAGTTGCTCCTGCGTTTTTCAACCCAAAAGGCATTACCTTGTAACAGTACAGGCCTTTAGGGGTGATGAACGCGGTCTTCTCCTCGTCTGGAGGGTACATAGCAATCTGGTGGTACCCCCTGTATGCATCCAGAAAACTCATCCTTTCATGCCCTGAAGTAGCGTCTACGAGCTAGTCAATCTTGGGCAGAGGAAAGCTGTCTTTAGGGAAGGCTTTGTTAAGGCTGGTAAAGTCTACACAAACCCTCCATTTGCCGTTCTTCTTCTTCACCACTACTGTGTTGGATAGCCATGTTGGGTAGTGAACTTCTCGGATGGCCCAGGCCTCCAGAAGTCTATCTACTTCTTCTTCTACTGCTTCGACGTGCATCAACGTCGGTCTTCTGGCTCGTTGAATCATAGGTTTTGCCGACCTGTCGACATTCAGTCTGTGGTAAGTGGCCTCGGGGTCAATGCCAGGCATCTCGTATGGTGTCCAGGCGAACACCTCAATGTTGGCTCTCAAAAAATCTTCCAGTTCTCTTTCCTCTTCTTCGGCTAAGCCTGAGCCGAGAAGAAAGAAGTGTTCTTCGTCGCCCTCCTGGACAAGGATTTTCTTTAGTGTCTCTTCACTCTTTTCGGTTGGCTCCTTGCCGATATCATCTAGAACCTCCATGTTCTCGTCTTCAATCTCTGCCTCTTTTGGCTTTCGAATGCTGCAAGTAGTCTTCATTGCTGCCATGGAGTAATTTTTTGCCTGCAGTTGATCTCCTCCGACTTCTTCAATCCCATGCTCTGTTGGGAACCGTAGTAGTTGATGCAGTGTTGAGGGAACTACCCCCATTGCATGTAACCATGGTCTTCCCAAGATGATGTTATATGGCGAGGGTGTGTCAATCACCATAAATTCTGTCTTGATCTTCTTAGTACCAGCTTGTACTTCCACGCTTGCTGCGCCTAGTGGCCATGTCGGCGTTCCATTGAAGCCGACCATGGGGTTGCCTAATTGTTCCAGGTCGTCTGGGTGAAGGCCCAGCTCCTTGTAACATCTGACGTACATGATGTCACAAGAGCTGCCTTGATCTATTAGGA